TCAAGGAAATGGATAGTAGAAAGGGTTGGGGAAGGGACAGAAATGAAAAAACAGGAGGGGGAAAAGATCATGCAAAATTAGTTGAGTCAAGGGCTGAGTGCCAAGGTAGGGGAGTTCCCCAGCATTGCGTCTCAGTCTTTGCCTCCTAAGCCCCCCTCCAACAACAGGTAAAGGATTAGGGGATGTTAAATAATTCAAAAGATTTCCAAAAATCAAGGAAAAGGGTAACCAGGTGAGATAGGCAGGACTACTACCTGAGTCCTTGGTGACTAAGTAGAGCCAGCTATGTGGAAATACAATAATTTAACTTGTATTATGGTAGGAATGGCATGTATTTTTGCCATCTGTGCTAATTGGGTTTGAAGGAGAAAATGAAATTTTTCATTGGAAGTATTCCTGGACCAGTGACCTTCCATACTGGTACTGCAGCTAAGGGTAGTAAGCCACCCATGGCTGATCTGTTACAAAGGGCACTGGCAGGCTCAATTCATCCAGGAGACTAACTTATTAACCCATTCGCGACTGGTAAAAATGAACAAAGAATGGGGAAAATGCTGTGCTCATTTTTTATTCTTTTTGTGAAATGTCTCTACACATAGATGGCTCTGCCTTACCCGATTTCATTTGGCGGGAAAATGTATTTGTTACTAGTGCTACGAATATCGATGGTTATTTTTATTATAAACATTATAATTACTATAATGTTATAAACATTAGTAATAGCAAAATATGATAACATTAAATATTTTCATTAATTAAAGAAAAGGGTAAACGGGCAAGATAGGCAGTACAAGTACAAGTGTAGCCATCTATGTGTTAAAACAATTAAGCAAGTAAACTCACAATGGGCATGTCACGTATACGTGACACTTAGCATGAATGGGTTAATGAGAGGTATCAACATATTGATATTAGGTGTGATAAAGATGGTTAGAAGTTGTCAAAGGTTTCATAACTACTACAGACCTTGGTTATATTTTTATTTGTATACTGATATCAAAGTTCCATAATTTCACAATCTTTACTTTTAAAAATAATATAATTAGACAAACAAGCTTAATTCACTTCACTTCTCTTCCAATAATGGTATGTGATACAATAATTTTCCCACTGGAAACTTATAAATGCGGAAAAGAACTAAACAGCAAAGGGCAACCTTTCAACACAGTATGGTATGTTCCTATACTCTGAAATTAGATTTCAACTGAAGCTTCTCCATCACACTGTGGGGTGTAGTAGTTATCTCTGGTTCTAGACCTAGTGTATCATTGAAGTCACACAGGAGGTCACGCCCTGTCAAAGCTTGGCTATGGGCATTGGAGCGTGGAAGAAAACCCAAGTGACCAATAGAGGGGCAGCTGGCCTGTAAAGGAAAGTAAAATAAATTTATTTCCCAGCTTACATTTGCATTTTGTTATACTCTAATATAAGAATGCTGAAGTGAAACTTCTTAAAGACAACTTAAAGACACTATAAACAGGCAAATAGAGTGCATACTTACTGCTGCTCTCTCATGGTGCATGTGTGCTACAAAACCAATGCCAAACTGATTTCTGGCACTCCGCATCTTTTGTTCTTCCTGATGCTTATCAAACATTCGCTCAGATTCCTCTAGTGGATGAGCAGTAGTTGAGGTTGGTGCACGACGCAACATTCCTCTCTCTGACCCATAGTCTGCCTCTTGTGAGAAAACTGGGCCAACAGTAAACTTCTTTGGAAGAGCCTGTAAGGACAATGATATTCTTCACTTTTCAGCTCTTTGATAAAAATAAACATATATTAAAGCATACATGATAAAAAACTTGTTCACAGTAAATAAAAGCATGTATATCAATAATTATTTTCTAATAATAAACACACGAAAACATGAAACTGGCAGGAGCAGCACGGAAGCCCACACAATCAGAATTGAAGACCCACCCATAAACAGGCAAGAAAATCCAAATGTTGTCCCAATAATCTTAGCTGATGATACAAAGACATTTAATTTCCATAACCCTATAAAATTAACAGAAACATAATAAGTGAATCAGAATTTCATAAATACATAATTGAAGACTCCTTTAGAGTGTAATAAGACTCGAGGTCAAAGACATCAACAAATTAAGACTTCTCAAATTCAGAAACTGGGGGACTGGAAAGTATTTTGCAAGCAACCAGCCTCCAGTAAAAAATGTAGGTTGCTCATATGGAACAATATTTTCAGTAGAGATGGACATAAGCTCAACAAAATTAAAGAGAAAATAAGATTAACTGAAACAACTCTGAAATAACAGTGATTATGAAAATATAAAATCGCCAACAACAAAAAAGAAAATGAATTCAAATGGACTTTCAAAGGTCCCCTAACTAGTTGCAAGAACTAATGCCAACACAAAAAGAAATTACAAATCCCTCTAACATCATCAATAAATGACCAGGATATAATAAAGCCTATAAACAAACAATAATTAAAGAATAAAACAAATTCATACACTGCAGAACAAATTACACCAACACATGCCCAAACATTAAACCAATCTGAGTTTAACTTTAGGACAAAGAACACCCAAAAGAACAAAAGCACAAAATACAAATTACAAACAAAATGACAAGACACACACTAGATAAAGCAACACAAACAACCATACAGGATTCAGACCAAGTAAAAGCACAACAGTTGCATTACAAGTAATGTCTAGATAAGGAATTACTGGTATTTCATTAAACTGGATCTATAGTGTCCTCAAGGATCTTTCCAAATAAAAATACACATTAGAAATGCATGTTACTCCTCAAAAAAAAAAAAAAAAAAAAAAATGTAGTACTTATTAATATAACAAACAAATCAATCACTTTAAATCTTAATAATCCAATAAAACTAACAGATGCCCTTAACAAATCAAAATTTCATAAATACATCATAGAAAACTCTGAGAATCTTAGGAATTGGCAAAGCTATTAGATTTGAAGTGATTGACACAATAAAGACAGGACCTTTGAATGAAATAAACCATCCAGGAGACTGGGAAGTCCAATGCAAACAACCAGCCACTAGAAGAAACCTAGGGTGCTCCTAATGGCATGGGAAAACCGAAATTGAAGTCAAAAGAAATTCAAGAAAAAATGAAAATAAATTGGGGATCAGACACTCAAATAAAAGAAATCAACAGAATAAATAAGCTAACCAAAACATCAGACGGGGAAAGTAAATGGCTACCTACTTGGGCCCTAAAAATAACATTCCAAGGTCCACTACCCTCCGAAGTAGCCATAGGCCATATAGCATATCAAGTTTTTCAATGCACTTTTCCCATTCCAACATGTTTCAAATGCCTTATGTATGGTCATGGGATAATTTTTTGTAAAAACAAATTAAGATGTAGTAATTGCAATCAGGTTGGTCACAAATTTAAAGACTGTTCAAATTCCTCTTATTGTTTTTTCTGTAATAGTAAGCACCCACCATATGACAGGACATGTCAGACACACATAAAGGTACAAGAAATAAACAAAAACACAAGACCAAACAACCAAGAAGTTAAGAAACTTCTACACCAGTTAACACGACAACTCAAAAAACACTCCACAAAAATACCAAAAATAACAACAGCGGAGATACACAACAAAAGCTCTGAAAACTACCAACAACCACAGGACAAAACAAACAACATACAACAAACAAACAAAGGTAACACAAACATTTGCTCAAACTTTAACACAGAACATAACACCAGCTCAGAAAATGCCTACAAAACAAAACAAAAAAACAACACAAACCAAAAAGAACCAGATACATTAAACCCATCAGTGAAGTCAAAACTTGAAACAACAAAAGAACAAAAGCTCACAAACGAACATAATACGAAAAACAAAGAACTAGTAAATTCCCCAATAACATGGTCACTTCCAATGCCACTAGTTAAAACTTCAACACCAGAAAGAAGAATAGACAATGATGAAAACAATCCTTCATGGACAGAAATTGTAAAAAGAATAATTAAACTGATATCAAACATAGCATTAAACTTAAAATCTGAGAAATCCATAAGCATAACTATATCCGAGACGATGACAGAAGCAATGCCAATCATAAAAGAAATCATGGAATGTATAAATGGATAAATTAATACTCTGGAATGCCAGGTCCATTTTATATAAAAAGACAGAAATAGACCATTTAATAGATAAATAAAAAATCCAAGTATTCACAATCTGCAAAACTTGGATAACTAAAAATGACAATTTTAAGAAAAACAACCATACAATAGAAAGATAAGATAGAACAGAACAAAGGTGAGGAGGTCTTGTAATTTGTATACATAACAGGATACAATACAAGAAAATAAACCTCATTGAAAGACAGAATAACAAAAGAGAAAAAATAGCTATGAAAATTAGCTACAAGAATAAATGGCTAAATTTAATTTTAATTTACAACCCTTGCAACAAAATAGAACAACTAGAATTAGATCATTACAAAAGCCCAAACTAATAATTGGAGATTTTTATGCCCACCACCTATCATGGAACCCACATATAGAAACAAAAACCACAAATAAAACAAGATTAAATTTGTTTAATTTGATTACTCAAAACTATCTGATGTTAATAACCCCCACGGGACTAATCACCAGAATAGACCCAAAAACAGGGAAAGGAACTACAATAGCTTTAGTGATAGGATCTCCAGAACTAAGCCATTTTGAAATGAAAACAAACACAAATTTAGGCAGTGACCATTTTCCAATAATAATAAAAGACAGCAGCTACGTAAATGAAATACAAACAATAGAAAAAAAAATGGAGCTTCAGTAAAGAAGGATGGAGGTATATTCAAGAAGAATTAGATAACAAAGACATCATGGGCATTTATTCAATAAAAGAAATAATGGACCTGATAAAAAACACTGGTAAAGAATATTTTAAATTTGATAATTAAGTCAATAAAAATAAACCATGCAAACCCTGGTGGAATCTAAAATGTAAAGAAATCATAAAACAAAGAAACAAAGCCTTTAATAAATGGAGGAAAAATCTAAATGACGCAAATAGAATTGAATTTTAAAAAAACTACAAATTAATACAAGAACCATTATAGAAACAGAAAAAAAGAATAGCTGGGAAAACTTCTGTACTTCACTCAACTTTAACAAACCAACCAGAAAGATTTGGAATTTCATTAAAAAAGATAAAATAAAAAATAAATAAATAAATAAATAAATAAATAAAAATAATAAATAAATAAATAAATAAATAAATAAATAGATAGAATTAATATTTAACCATTAATTGATAATAATCAGCCTATTCACAATACAGAGCAAAAACACAATTTGCTAAAAGAATAATTTCAAGAAACAAACAAAAAAGCAAAAAGATTGCTAACAAAAACAGAAATAAAGAATTTGACAGAAAAAAAACAAACACAGAAGGAATAAGTAAAAATCTCACTTTAAGGGAATTAACTTCAGTAATAAAAAAATCAAATAATAGAAATGCCTATGGACCTGATGAAATTCCATACAAATCTTTCAAAAAATGTCCCCAAAATGTATTAGAAAAAAATCAAATCATTGCATAACATTTACTGGCTAAAAGGAGAATATCTGAAGGAACTAAAGGAATCATTAGTAAATCCAATAATAAAATAAGGTAAAGACCCATTATATAAAAAATCTTACAGATACATTAGTAGAATATCATGTATTGGGAACATATTTGAAAGCATCATAACTAATAGACTAAACTGGTGGTTAGAAATTAACAAAAAAATAAATGAAGACCTAACAGGATTCAGACCAAACAGCTCAACCATAGACACTCTACAAATAATAGACTATCAAATCAACAAAGCTTTCACAGAAAAAAAAAAAAAAAAAAGCTCTAATAGCATGCCTAGAGCTGAGAAAAGCTTTTGACTCAATCAATCATGAAGCAATAATAATAAAAGCAGCAAAACTTAGAGTTACAGGTGCCCTACTCAAGTGGATCATGGATTTCCTAAAAAACAGAACCTACCAAATTGTCATAGATGATAACATAGCAAGGGGCCTTCCACAAGGCTCACCCCTAAGTCCATTATTTCTTAACATAATGACAATGGATTTAACCTAACAGATGAATTTAAAAAAGTAACATATGCAGATGACATTACAATTTAGCAATTAATAATAATCTAGCATAGGCTAAAAATAAACTAGAATTAGGGTTAAAACAAATAATAGAATGGGCAAACAAATGGGAATTAACAATAAACCTAACAAAAAGTAAACCCGTCTTTTACAAAAAACAGAATAAGACAAATTCCAATCATACAAATAGATAACAAAGTACGTAAATTCACAACTAACCACACAATTCTTGGTCTAGAATTTGATGCTCCAAAATTAACCTTGAAAAAACACATTAATAATCAAGAGATAAATCACTCAAATAGAATAAACTTAATAAAAAAAATATCTTCAACAACATGGGGAGCAAACAGAGAAACCATAATAAAATTCTATGATATTTATATAAAACACAAAATAGACTATGGTATTTCAATCTTCAGTACAGCCAATAACACAGATATGGGAAAAAAAGGTAGAAATTATACAAAATAATGCCCTAAGAATAGCTACAGCCTGCTTAACATGTTACCCGCGTCTTGGCCTACATGTGTACCACTAACGATATTCCCTTATTAGGAGTTGGTACACAGTGGTGCAAAGATGAGTAAAAAAAATATATATTTAATGTATTTTTTCCTATTTATACATAGATTGGCTATGGTTTTGGCTTTCATACATTAGCAAGGGACATGAATGAGTAGAAAAGTAACCACAATAAAACATATGAGTTTTCTTCCTCATAGATTCACTGGGACTAGTGTGAGAGCGTTGTGAAGGCCTCCACGATAGAAGGGAGTCTTGGTTTTGTCATAACGCGGGTAACATGTTAAAAACCACCCCAATATTAGCATTATACACACTCACAAATAAAATGCCCATCATATACATACAATATCTGTAATTTATTAATTACACGCAGCCATCCAATCTTCCATTTTTCATTCCTTCTTTCAATTATTCATGCTGTAATATGCATGAATCTCTTGTTATTTTCCATCGCAAATGATATAAATAAAAGTATTGGTAATGTTTATGAAATAACCTTACCCCTCTGAGAATAAGCCCTTTTACTCCTACCATTCCTGGTAAATCTACAGACATCACTGTATGAGCCAAAATCCTTCCTAACCCAAGGGCTTCACCCCTAGACACCCATCCAATCACCATATTTCCCTATATGGGGCTTTCTCCCTGGGCCCCCACCCAGTTGTGGAGTTACAGCCTGCATGGCATATGTTGCATGGCATATGTTGCAACCCGTTTTCTTAATTTTTGACATATTTTGCCGACGCAAATTATTTCATGTATTTGAGTATTTTATCTTCAATTATTATAGTGCCATTACGTTTTCCTGCAAATGTATACCAAAGTATTACATGTTGCACAACTTTTTTATTATCAACTTGCTAAGGTAATATAATAGATGAAAAGTGTCTTGTTTTCAGCCATACTGACCATTAAAGGTAAATTTTACCTTGTACTGCATGGCTGTGGGAAACTAAAACTAAACCACCACACCTTGCTGTGTTCGCCCCTCATATACACTATCTTACCAAAAATACATGGAGGATTCCCTGTTGTCCAGGGTGGGGGCTGGGGGCAGCAGCCCCACAGTGGAGGGATTGGTTGCATTCTACAGTATAGTGTATCATGATCTATATTCTGTTTTTTATTATTGTTATTCTGCCCCACAATTACCTTGGACTTAAGCCATGAGCAGCATTACGTTTTCCTTTAGTTGAAGTGTTACCGATCGTGTCTGCAGATTATTCCTTGTACCAACAACTTTTAGTCCTTATCTTCATTTTGCCCAAGCTTTGTGCCTCCATACCATGAAGAGTAACCTATATATGTATACTAGAGGGTGAGAGGAATCTATCCATACCAAAATTGTCATGATCAGCAATGCAAAGGTATACCAAAGACTTACAATGGAAAATAACAAAAAAATCACGTACATTATAATGTGCATAACTGAAGCAAGGAATAATAATAGACGACTGTGTGAAACAAAACAAAAATAGCGAAAAATGCGAGTGAAAATTAGGTACAAACAACTTTGGGGTGAAAGGCTAGTGGCTCCTGAGTGCCCTCTTTATTGCGTACCTTGCAAAACCTAAGAAGAGAGAAAAAAGGAAAAGAAAAAAAGAAAAAGAACTTGCTCTCTCCCAAGCACAAACAATCTGCATCAAACTGACTTCCTTTTCATGAAATGTGGAGTTTAATGCAAAGTTTTGGCTTGTCCTCTTCATGGGATGACTTGTGCTTTTGAACCTTCCCTTGACACGAGTCGCCTCCCATGAAAACAGGACATGGTGTCCTCTCGCCTTACATAGTAAACACAACTGATAAATCGCAATGATAACTTAGCTAACAATGGATAAGCAATTATTAGATATAAGATATAACAAAGATACATCCCACAATAATGTATGCGAAGACTTTTTGACATTGATGATTAACTCCTCAAATTCTATCAATAATGGCGTTTTCGCGCATTATGCCGTCTTTCCTTGGCCCCTACGTACTGCCCTGATGAACAGCTCTTACTTAGGGTCACAGAGGCGCCCACTTACCATGACTTCGAGAGAAAATGCAGAAGGAATGCAATTGCGTGTGTGTGCCTCGGCGTACGACTCGCGACTCGTCGCCCGCGCCGCCGGTCCTCCTGCGGCTCGCGGGCGGCGGCGACCCTCGCGCGGCCCTCCCCTCGGCCCTTCCTGGAGCCTCAGCTGCATGCATACTCATGAACTACTCGAGCTTCTCAGGGGCATGATGATTTTTTTTTTTTTTTTTTTTTTTAAGTCGCACGGAAGTGATTTTCGGGGAAACACGTTTTGCTTCTCTCGGCCTCATTCTCTCTTTTTGCGTGTGTATGTGTGTGTGTGTATACGTATATATATATATGTATGTATGTATGTATGTATGGAGGAGGGCTGTAATATAATACCATTAAATATTCCTAATCAGTTAAGCTATAGACTATCATGACTTTATGACTTTTTTTTTTTTTAACAGATGTGTTCATTCAAGAAATCCTTAGTTATATTATTGCTTTGAAATTACCATGATTGTAGCCAAATATATTGCTGCAATATAAATATTCTGTAATACAATATATTTATTTCACACCTACTGATTATAATTCAAATTCCTGTTAACTAAAAAACACTCGTTCAAAAGTTGTCCTTGTGGGAAAAATACGATCATGCAGCAAAACTAACTCCTGCATACAGTTCGTAGACAAACAAGCAAGTTTTCCTGTCGTAGAAGCCGAAATAAAGTCCCTGGAGAGGAGACGGCGGTTCAGAGAGGTACAGAGGCAGAGGGCAAAGGCAGAGTTAAGAGGCTGCACAGGTCCAGTCCTCGGCTGTGAAGGCCAGCTCTCAAGTCCACCATGGAGAGTGATACTCCCAACCAGGCTGTGTTTGGCAAGGTGAGTGCTCTTCACACCCTTTCCACACCACGTGTTCGTCCAGGAAGCTGTTCATTTGAACAAGAAGCTCACATAAACATACATGAGCAAGAGGAATAACTTCAACAGTATTTTTGGGAAGTGACAGAGTCTCCCAGTTTAGGCCATATTAGAAAAAGTTTTGAACTTTTTCCCTACCCTTTTTGGTTGTTTTTGGTCCCATCCCAAAGCTCTTTTTTATTATAAACCGTAAAGCATACCTTGAGGCTCATTTTCAAGGAATATAAGTGTTGTTTGAATGCTGCAAAACACCTGTGAAGGAAGGTATTAAAGCAATTGCATATCCTACATTGCTCATTTTCTTCACTGAACATGCTTTAATAATCACAGGAAACTTTAGCATAATTTTTTAAAACACTCTTGAGGAAGCAGCTCCAGGAGAATAAGGGATGAGTAAAATCTCGTGTATTTAGTAGAAATTCGTCACTGACCGTGGTTTGTCTCCTATTGTTTTTTTCTTTTTTTTTTATTTGTTTCTGATGAACCTTGTGTATTTAGACAACCAAATACAGTCAGCAGCTTCTGTGTACCTGCCGTTTAGAAAATTACGTTTAATTTGTTCGTAATTGTGTTAAGAAAGGTTACCAGTCTGACCTCGTCATTCATGTGAAAAGGAAAAATAAAGGTTCAGCACTGAGCCTTTAAAAAAATACCCGGACTTTTTCTTATTGAGATGAAGAGCAAAAATACATAATAGGGAGAAATGTAAAAAGAAAAAGGAATGAGAAATGATGAAAGTTACGAGAGATATGAACCTATCCAGGCCAGGGAATATTCCAGTGACAGTAAAAGTAATAATTAAGCTGAAGATGGTAAATTGATGATAATGATAGTTACAGATAATAGTTCCATAAAATAGAAAGTGTTTTAGAAGGCCAAGTAACTTTATGTACACTTTTTTTTTTTTTAGGGAAAGGACTTACGAAGAATGAGATAAAATGAATACCAAACAGCTTTGGAATTAAAGGGAAAGCTTATGGACTCCACACAAAAGGTGGTTTCACAACATAGAACAAAGGAATTGGAGATTTTGCATTTCTGTTATAAGTCATTTTGATAATTCTTTATCATGACTTTATTATCGGAAAATATATTACATTAAGAACTTCATTGCGTCAGAGTTTACCTACATTTGTGGTTGTTATTAGTATTGGAAGATATTTTTAATTGGCCTCTGTAAGAATCTGAGCCCCAGGGCCTACACTTCTATGCAGATACAATTCCATTTTTATTTCTATTTTTTATTAACAAATCAGTCACTCAAAAAAAAGTAGACTACATAGGAAGAAAAAGGCAAAAAGGAGGAAAAAATAAGTAAAAGAAGAGGCATAATAAGAGAATGAGGTACTTTGAAAAAAGGAAAATGTGAATGTAATTGATAAGAACAAACTGAAATAAGAAAATAGAAGCTGTAAGGAAAAACATACTGGATATCATGCTGAGCTTTATCAGATAAGCACATAAATACTTCTGCAAGCACCTTATTTTCTTTTTTTATATTACATTTTATCTTATTAAGTACAATATGTACTCATTTTTCATATGTTGAAAATATGATCACATATTTGATGCAATCTCTCCTGTAATGGACACTCCACAAATACATGCTAAAAATCTTGCCCAAAGCATTGCAAATTCTTTAATGATTCTATTTGAAAATCAAAGTAGAACTTCATATGTGTGACAAGCCATACAAAAGATGTTAATTCAATAGAAAATCTTGTTGTTTTAGTGACTTCTTGAAGAATATGTTGAATTATTAATGTAGGTATTAACCCAATGCTGCTGGGAAAAATGCTGTGCCCATTTTTTTATTGTCTTGTGAAATGTCTCTGCACATAGATGGCTCTGCTGGAGCTTAGCCACAAAGGAGTCAGTTAATAGACCTTGTGACCTTACCTAATTTCACCTTTCCATGAATTGCTGAAAAAAGCATAATTTTTACCAGTGCTATGAATATCGATGGTGTTATTTTTATTATATACATTATGATTACCATAATGTTATGAATATTAGTAACAGTAAAATAAGATAATGTAAAATATTTTCATAAATCAAGGAAAAGGGTAAATGGGCGAGACAGGCAGTACTTGTAATTGACTCATCGACTGTTGTTGTCTATATCCCCTGGCTCGTCTTTTTTTTGGGGGGGGCGTGAGGGGGGCTTCTTGTTTCTTAAATTATATCAATTTATTTATTTGTTTGTAGGAAAATCTTTCTTCTTTTTATAAAGTTTTAGATTATAATATTGTCTATATCCCCTGGATCCTTTTCTTCTTCTTCTTTCTTCTTTTATTGGGTCTTAGACTATTGGTCTATCTATATCACCTGGATCTATTTCTATCTTCTTCTTTGGATCCTTTTCTTCTTCTTCTTTCTTCTTTTATTGGGTCTTAGACTATTGTCTAGTCTATATCCCCTGGATCCTTTTCTTCTTCTTCTTTCTTCTTTTATTGGGTCTTAGACTATTGTCTAGTCTATATCCCCTGGCTCGTCTTTTTTTTGGGGGGGGCGTGAGGGGGGCTTCTTGTTTCTTAAATTATATCAATTTATTTATTTGTTTGTAGGAAAATCTTTCTTCTTTTTATAAAGTTTTAGATTATAATATTGTCTATATCCCCTGGATCCTTTTCTTCTTCTTCTTTCTTCTTTTATTGGGTCTTAGACTATTGTCTAGTCTATATCCCCTGGATCGTCTTTTTTTTGGGGGGGGCGTGAGGGGGGCTTCTTGTTTCTTAAATTATATCAATTTATTTATTTGTTTGTAGGAAAATCTTTCTTCTTTTTATAAAGTTTTAGATTATAATATTGTCTATATCCCCTGGCTCGTCTTTTTTTTGGGGGGGGCGTGAGAATCTTTCTTCTTTTTATAAAGTTTTAGATTATAATATTGTCTATATCCCCTGGATCCTTTTCTTCTTCTTCTTTCTTCTTTTATTGGGTCTTAGACTATTGTCTAGTCTATATCCCCTGGATCTATTTTCTTTCTTCTTTCTTTTCTTTATATTATTTCTATTAGTTTCGTTTTCTTTAGGAGTATTTTTGTGTGTCTTCAAATGTAGTACTTCTTTATTGGTGGGAGATCAGCACCTGTGAGTAATAAGTCTATATTAGGATTATTTATTTTGATTCTTTTTAAAGCTTCCATCAGGTCTGTTCTGTAAGAGTGAAATCTTGGACATTGTAGTATTATATATTGTATGTTTTCTTCTTGGTGATGACACCATCTGCATGTTGGGTCATTTACTATTTTTACTTTATGTAGATGTTGGTTTAATCTTGTGTGTGTTGTTTTGAGTCTGGTTATACACACATCTAGTTTTCTGTTTTTTGATCTTGACCAGGGTTGGAGTTCTATGTTTTTTAGAAGGTAATTTTTTGTATTAAGGATTGTGTTTTCCATTTTTAAAAATATTCTATCCTTATTTGTTTTATCTTTTTTCTTTTGTCCTCATGTATAGTTATGGGGTTTGTTATGTTATGCGCATGTTTTGCCGCTTGATCAGCTATTTCATTGCCTGTATTTCAAATATAGTGTGTTTATAGCTTTTTGGTTTTGGGTTTGATATTTGCTGTAAGGCTGATTTAGAATCTGAAAATATTACTGATGTTATTAATCTATTATTCTGGATATAGGTAATTCCTTGTTTTATAGCAAAAAGTTCAGCCTCTATTATTTCTGTTTCATCAGGTAATTTCCATATTGTTGTTATCTTTTTATCTTGGATATATATGGCCGCTGAGGTTGAGTTTGTGCTTAATTTTGAACCATCTGTGAATATTTTTTATAATTTAAATATCTTGTGTTTTCCAACTTTATAAATTGACTCTTTATTATTTGTTCGGGGACATTTTTTGTCAGCTCATCTAAGAAGTTAGTTTCTATGTTTTTTGTAATATCAAACCAAGGTGGAATGGGGGTTACGTTTGATATTGTTTTTGCTTTTATTGTTATATTTAACTCTGCAAGTTTCTATTACTCTGTGTACTAGGCCTCTCTTACCTTTTTCATGGTTATATATTTCTATATTTGCTGTTACATTTCTTTTCATTTGGTTGTTCTCTTGTTTTTCTAATATTTTCATCATTTGCATACATTCCAATTCTTTTTGTTTGTATTTGATGGGCATTTTATTTGTGAGAGTGTATAAAGCTAAGACTGGGGTGGTTTTTAAGCAGCCTGTAGCAATTCTTAGTGAGTTATTTTGTATAATTTCTATTTTTTCATTTCTGTGTTTTTGGTTGTTCCGAAGATTGAGATGCCATATTCTATTTTGGGTTTTATATA